GGTTTTAACCACCATTTGGACTGCGCAAGGTCAGATACACGTCTGGTTATATTGCTGAGCGTTTTTTGGTGTGAGACAGAAAGAGTGGGCTAAGAGTACAGGAAAGTGACCACGATTAGAACCAAGACAAGAAAAAGCTAGTCTTGCCAACATACAAGCGACAACAGGAACACGTTATTTTGTAGAATGATAATGGGTCAAGGTCCTCTCTAGAAGTGAGCATCACTAAAAAAAGTGTCGTAGTTTCCCTGAAAATTGTTTTCGTTCCCCACTTCCTTACTTGGTCGCCTGTACCTTTAGAATAGACGTCACTTTTGCAGTCCTCATTACGTTTTAGCCATCACTGCTGGTTTCGTACATAAGAGAACATATACAGACACATACACATAAAGAGATAGACACTCTCACATACTTCGATGTCGGCATATGACTGGAACTAATCAGTAAAGTGTTCCGATTGATAATATATCTACAGCTTTTTATGGATGAGCCGATGAGTTCTCTTGGCTCGTTAACTTGAATTCGGTTGTAAGGATGATACCCTGCTCTGATGATTTTCATCATAAGACGCACTTTTAATACATAAAATGTGGAAGAAACATCTAGTTGTCAGATATTATCAAGGAAAATATGCGAAAGTTGGAAGTATTAGTCAATAAAACTCAATTAAAACGCATTTCACCTTTTTTACAATACTTTTTATTCCATCCAGCTTCCTACGATTCATTTTAACCTGACTAATGAAATAATTTATTACAAATTAAATGCTAGCTATAATTTTTTAATTCCCTAGATATTTATGGATTCATACCAAATTGTACTGCTTTATTATCTTGTTGATGATCACAATTTTATCAATTTCACATCTTCTGACTCTACAGGGGCACAAAAATTTGATATGTAATCAGTCATTTTGACTTAAGCCTCCTGAATAATCATTTTTCATAATTAAGTAATTGGCATCATTACTAATTAACTACTTGACCTACTTGAGGTATATTTAGCAGTATATTGCTGCCCATTTTTGGAATCTTCCTCTTCAAAACTTGCTTCCTCGTCTTCTTCTTCTACCTCTTCTTCCTGGTCGTCACCGTCATCTTCTCCTTCCTCTTCCTTTTCAAAATATTCATCAACGCTCTCTTGCCTCTCAGGTGTCCATTCTCTGCCGTCCACTCTCAAGTTGGCATAGATTGGTCCATCACCATCTTGTCGTCTTGAATTCGTCTCCAACGCAGTTTTGTCTTGTTCTTTATGGCAACTCTTTCGCCAGTCCTTCGATGCAGCCCGCCTATTTCGCTCAATGACTAGTTTCAAATGATGGCACAGTTGGTCAAGACAAATAAACGTTCCAGTACGACCAACGCCAGCACTGAGAAAGTGTAAAATGAGACGTGAAAACAAATAAGGCATTGATAAGTTATAAAGTATGCGCACTAAATCGAATTGCAAAATGATATTAAACCATATTCATATATAAGCAGAATAATTTCCTTACCTTACAGCGTTAATTTCACATTCCTTAGTCCTTCTTGCAGCATAATTTATTTCATTATATTATATATTTTGGCTTTATTTTAATGCAACATGAAGAGTATATAGAAAATTTATCTCTTTCCTAACGCGATCACCTCAAAAAATAAACCTTAATTTGCTGTGATAGATCTAAACAATATTCGAAATAGTTCAGCGGTAATGCACTAATTAATGCGCTTACTATATTTCAAATTAATACAAACTATCTGGAAACACTTATCCCTACCTTGATAAAGTTTTTTCAGCTCTTCTTATTACAGTCTGCTGTATGACAAATCATTACATTTACCTTCTTGCATGCACAGTCCATTGCGTGTATTGTGTTGGGTGGGGAAATACTACAAAAATTGTCGATATATCTTTTATATGTAGAATCTTTTGCATATACTAAAAATCAGATATTTATAACATTAGATAAAAACTTTTTTCTAAAGCATAAATAACAGGATATATGAAGACCAAAATGTTGTGGCCCCTCTTTCTGTCCTGGTCTATCTATCTACTCTTAACCCTATTATCCCACAACCGCCTTGATAAATAGCGCCTGAAGTAAAATTCACATTGGGACTGGAACCGAGTGAAATCCTTAAACCAGAAAGAGGAAGTACGGATCTAATAGACAATGAGGGGATCCGGATTGGAGGTCTGAGTCGGATCAGCTGATCGAAAGAGAAGGGTCGGCGTGAATAGCAAGTGTGATGAAGCCAAACAGGATTCGCCAGTGAGATGTTGTGATATGACGGCAGTGGGATAAGAGGGTAAATAGTTGATAGATAGGCAATGTCAGAAAGAGGAGTGAGAGT